CAAGGCATGACTCCTGGCTTCCTCCAGAGTGAACCATCAGAGAGAGTGAGAGGGGGAAAAAGAATAAGGAAGAATCTTATTTACCCTATTTTTGGAAGTGACATACTATAACTTCCATTGCACTCTTGGGTCACCAGACCAATCTGGACAAATTGTGGCAGGGAACCAACAAGGATGTGAATACATGAGGAGAGAATCAATGGGCACTATCTTAGATGTTGGCTATGACATTTATTCCCTATAGAGTGGCAGAACAAGATCATAAAATCAGGCAGTCTGACCTTGTGTTTGGGCCCTTTACCACTTTTTAAAGAATAACTGCAGAACACGTCGTTGTGAATGTTCACTATTTTCCTAAAGTAGGAATTTGTGGATACTTGTGGCTGGCATCCAGTGACAATTGCTTGTCAAAGGGCACCTGAAAATGGGAAGGAGATTAGAGTATTTATCAAGGGTGATGGAAACTATAATTCCGAATAGTCCACATGATACGTAGGCCATTGCCAAAAAGAAATGCTAAAGAGAGGCAGAGTGAGAAATCACTTCACTTAAGCTCTTTGCACTTTAAAATATTATCTTTACTTTTCTGTTTGTTCTCCTGTCCTCAACAAATCTCTCAAATTGTCAAGTATCATGGGGAGGAGTACCTATAGAGAGCTTTATTTCTTAAAATTGTAACTTTAGAAATAAAATCTGTATTTTAGATTTCCTATAGGTCATGTTTAATGCTAACATTTTTGTAAATGTTGTTAAAGTTTTTGAATTTCAATGTGCCCTGTTCAGGGAACTAAGTAATTTGGTGGTGAGGGAATTTCTACTTGAAAAATCTTTATGTGTCAGTATGAGAGATAAATCCAGTTGTCAGCAAGCTGTGTCAGAACAGATTTCTTGTCATAGTTGGCCACAGAGCAGAGATTTATTGAAAATGTTTGATGATATCACTCTTCGAGCTGTTTAAATAAACAGAGCAGGACAGTGGCCGCCTTGAATTGTGCTGTGAGTGTGTGCATGTGTTTGTGTGTGTTCTGGCTCTCAGAACTGACATGTAGGGGAAAATACAGAAATGCACTTCAATACACAGTGTTAGGTCCAACTTATTTCAGAATGATTAGTTTTGCAACAACCATTTTATAAGTAAGGGTAGGTGTCTGTTCTATTTTAGAAATGAATCATGGATCAGAATACTTCAAAACCAAACCTTTGGAATACTGACTATGCTATTCATGTGAGGGAAATAGAACAATGCAAATTTCTGAGTTGCTGAGACATACAGCAGATTTATCATTTTTTTAAAGAACTTTTATTATTTGCAAACCTTTTGTACTCAGGTCAGTATTCAAAATGCAAAACTCATAGGAAGTAAAATTTCTTTTCTTAAGTAATGAAAGACTTGGAACTGGAATATGAATTTAGTCTCTTGGGTTCTCTCTGCTCTCTAACTTATACAGAATCTGTGGCTTGCCAAATTATTTTCTGTTTCTCTATTCAAATTTATTCAGCACCAACTGGAAGATATTTATGACATTCTTTTTCTAAGTGCGTTCTAAAATATTGGTTAAATTCAGATAACAATATTGATTAGAATGTGCACAATTTGTCAAGTGGGTGCCTACTGTGTTTAAGGGAGACTATTATTGTCACATTTATTTATGAATAAAAATTGTCAACACAGGAAAAGCTTTGCAGTTTGGCAGTCAACCTTAATGACTGTATAGTAATCTCATTTTGATTGGTAAGATGTATGAATTCAATTGACTGCTTCAGAGAGTGAAATTTTGAGTTATAGGAATACAGACTTTGTTATTATATGACTTTTATTTGCAAATGTATTCAAATCTATTACTATTATTATCATTGTAGTAACATAGTGACTATACACACCAGGAAACAAAACAATACATACATGAAATCATATAAAAAACTCTCCAGTGGGTTAAAATGACAGATTTATAAATATATCTTCTAGAAAATCTTTCTTGTTAACTCACTTGAAAAATATGAAGTGTCTCCAGCACTGTACTATGACAGACACAAAGACTACAAAATTATAACCTTTTCCTTTAGGGAATTGATCATTATTTTGGCTGGTATCCTGTTTGAATTTCTGATTCTTTCAAAAGTTCCCTTCTCATTTTATTTCTTTTCCTTTTTCTAAAGTCTGTTCATCTGTATATATAGCCACAATCTACTTCTATAAAATATCTTATTGATTAAATTATAAAATTTTTATTTATGATGTTATATATCAGTCTGAATTTTTCATTGAAATCCTCCCAAAAATAATTTAGAAAAGCTTTGTATCACCACACATGTTTTTAATTCATTACTTAAAGTTAAATATTATAGGTTAAATATCTGCAAAATACATAATTTTTCTGGTATTCTACTCTTTTAAATAAAGCCAAAAGTATAAAAATACCATAGCAATTTGATACCCACCATCATCCATTTACAAAGTATTGATACATAAGTAAGTTTCTCTTTTACAGAGAAAAGTTTGTATCACTCATTTTCTTCCTTTAACTAATACCTACAACTCACTTCCTCACAGAATAACATACAGTTGTCAGCTCTGTGAACTCTCACAGAAAGTTAAATAGTATTTCAGTTAACAACTAGATAATGTCCTCTAATTTTTCTGGAAGTAAAAGTTATATTCAAATATTGATTAATCATTCAAGTTATCCGCTTTCTAATTTCCTAGGAGGTACAACTGTAAAAAGCTTTATCAAGACTTATACATCTACAGGTTTTATTCACTTAGAGGTACTTCGTATAATACAATATACTAAGACAGGATTGAAAACATTGAAATGCCACTTATATCTTTACTAACATAAGTTTTTTAAAAAATGTTTTATCCCATTAAATCATTAATATACATTCTTATTTGATTCAGATAAAACACGCATTACTTAACCTCCTTAAAAAAAAGTTAGTCCTCATTACCAAAACAGTCAAAACTTTCTATCTGAAGAGAGACCTGGCTTCATTTTGCAATCAAACGTGTTAATATGTACTTCAAGGAGTGTTATAAATATAATGAAATTAAATTCTCAAATGCAGTTTTATATATATATACACACACCTCCTCCCTCTTGAGGCTGCTGCCCCTCTAGGTTATCAGAGTGCCAGGCAGGGGGCTCCTCTGTCCATGGGATTCTCCAGGCAAGAATACTGGAGTGGGTTGCCATGCCCTTCACCAGGGGATCTTCCTGACCCAGGGATTGAACCTGGGCCTCTTGCATTGCTGGTGGAATCTTGACTGCTGAGCCACGGGCGAAATGTATATATGTCAGTGCTGTTTTCTCAATCCGCCCCACCCTCGCCTTCCCGTCTCCGTCCACACGGCTGTTCTCTGTGTATGTGTCTCCATTCTTTCCCTGCAAATAGCTTCATCAGGACCGTTTTTCTAGATTCCGTATATATGTGTTAATATATGATATTTGTTTTTCTGTTTTTGGTTTACTTCACTCTGTATAACAGGCTCTAGGTTCATCCACCTCACTACAACTGATTTAAATTCATTCCTCTTTATGGCTAAGTAATATTCCATGTATATGTGCACCCCATCTGCTTTCTCCATTCATCTGTCGATGGGCATCTAGATTGCCTCCATGTCCTGCCTATTGCATATAGTGCTGCAGTGAACACGTTAGGGTTCATGTGTCATTCAGAAGGAACCCTTTTAATTTAAAGTGCTATGTATTTCGTGTAATTAATCTGCATTTTTAAGTCAAAATATTTTAAAAAACCTGTTTCTAACCAACAATAATGCAATATAATTTGTATCTTGATGATGAAATTACTTTGTAAAAGGAATATGATTAAAAAAAAAGATTTTACTTTGGTAAATGTACACTGCTGTGCATGTTGAACTTCAGCAACTGGCCTTAGGGTATAACTGAATTAAAAAATCATTATATAATACAAATAATTTATTAATTTTATAGATAAGAATATGCTGTTGAAATTGATCATTCTAGCAGGTAGCTTAATTTTTATTTTTTGTTAATAAGAGGTAGAGCATGCTAAACATTTTGTAAGATGAAGATTGACTTACGGTGAGAGTAAATATTTCATAACATGATATAGTTCAGTTCAGTCTCTCAGTCGGGTTCAACTCTTTGCCACCCCATGGACTGCAGCAGACCAGGCCTCCCTGTCCATCACCAACTCCCGGAGTTTACTTAGACGTGTCCATTGAGNTTATTACCAAATTCAGACTTAAATTGAAGAAAATAGGGAAAACCACTAGATCATTCAGGCCTGACCTATATCAGATACCTAATTCATAATGTGATACAACTGAACAGATATTCAAATAATGGAATTGAACAATGCTCACTAAACCTAGAAAATATTGTGTAAGATACCATCTGTAGGTTTAGACCAATGTAACTTCAAACATGTTTTGGTATTTCCAGAAAGCATTCGGTTGCATTTAAATTAATGTGTCACTAAGCTATACTACTTCAGCTGCTTGAAAGTATTTTCTATTAAATATAAATCCTTAGTGTGATTATTTAGAGTATACTTTCATATTCTGTTTCTAGACTATAGATCTCCAAAGCATTACTTTCCTTCACAGAATTAATAGAAAATCCCCACTTTTTTAGCCTGCTCTATATAATATATTCCATCTCTGAACAATCTAATGTTTCTAACATCATCATTTTTGCCTAGAAGAAAGAATAAGATGAAAACAAAACTAAGCCAAATAAAAATCAGGGATCCTTAAGGTGGCCTATGAATCACTTCTTTGTTTGAAACCATGAAAAGTTTTAAACCTCAGGGTAGTTCTTGCTAGTGAGATTCTTGAAGAGTGAGTTGTCTTTTCTGAAGGGACTTTCTAGAAAGAGAGGTAAGTACAGGAACCTACATGAAACCATGAAGCACATCCATGGATTTGAAGATGTGAAAATGTAGCCGTTTCCTTTTTGCTTGTTAGGCAGATGCATGGGATTGAAAATATTAATGACAACACCTTTGTTTTGCAGCTGTCGTGAGTGCCATCCCTGTGCCAACCCTAGAAAGTGCCCAGTACCCAGGAATCCTTCCATCACCCACGTGTGGATACCCTCACCCACAGTTCACCCTCCGGCCTGTGCCATTCCCAACACTGTCAGTGGACCGAGGTTTTGGAGCAGGAAAAAGTTAGTGTATTGCATTTTCCTTTCTTTTTACTGAGAACAAATGAATAACATCAATAAAGTCTTGTCAAGTGTGTAGCATTTTGATGTTCTTATCCTTTGTAATGAGGGATTCAGCTGTGACCTGTGTACTAGAATTTTCTTTTTCAGCATGGTCAGTTTTTGGACCCTAAACATGTATTTGGGACTGATTTTCTAGGAGTCTTTCCACAGTCCGTTGCACTGACAATATGAGGATTTCCTTTTTGCTTGTTAGGCAGATGCATGGGATTGAAAATATTAATGACAACACCTTTGTTTTGCAGCTGTCGTGAGTGCCATCCCTGTGCCAACCCTAGAAAGTGCCCAGTACCCAGGAATCCTTCCATCACCCACGTGTGGATACCCTCACCCACAGTTCACCCTCCGGCCTGTGCCATTCCCAACACTGTCAGTGGACCGAGGTTTTGGAGCAGGAAAAAGTTAGTGTATTGCATTTTCCTTTCTTTTTACTGAGAACAAATGAATAACATCAATAAAGTCTTGTCAAGTGTGTAGCATTTTGATGTTCTTATCCTTTGTAATGAGGGATTCAGCTGTGACCTGAGTACTAGAATTTTCTTTTTCAGCATGGTCAGTTTTTGGACCCTAAACATGTATTTGGGACTGATTTTCTAGGAGTCTTTCCACAGTCCGTTGCACTGACAATATGAGGAGTTGTGAGAAAACAAACCTTAACAGATTCAGTAAAACAGTAACATGATGGGTGCTGGAAATTAATATGTTCTGTTAAGTGGGAAGTGAATAAGCAAGTGACTGAACTCCAACATATTCTTGCTTAAGTGTCTGTTGGTAATAATTAAAAGATGTTTCTTTGATTTTCCTTATGAACCAATACCTGTATGAAAGCTTTAGCTTTCTTTAGTTAAATCAGCCATTTGCAACACCATGGAGAGAATTTTTTCTTTTATAATTTTTAAGAAATAGTTATTGGATATAAAAGATTTCCAGACTAGTATTTCATCTGTTTTCATGTATTTATTTTTCCAGCTTCAAAGAGGTGTAATTGACATTGGACAATGTGTTGTACCATGTATTGATTTGATATACTTCTCTGTTGCAAAATGACAATCACCGTTACCTTAGCCAACACCCCCATCCACGGCACACAATAAGCATTTCTTTTTTGTGGTAAAAACATTTAAGAGTTACTCTCTTAGCAATTTCTGAGTGTTTAATACAGTATCATTAACTACAATCACTCCTCTGTCCATGGGATTCTCCAGGCAAGAACACTGGAGTGGGTTGCCGTTTCCTTCTCCAGGGGATCTTCCCGACCCAGGGATTGAACTTGCATCTCTTGCATTGGCAGGCAGATTCTTTGCCACTGAGCCACCTGGGAAGCACTTATAAAGCAATTGTCCTCCAAATTAAAGAAATAATATTAAAAATAATTGGCAAAAAAAATGCATGGGAGTGCAGAATCTTTGATATCCAGTTTTCATTGCCTTTGCCTACATACCCAGAAGTGGGATGGCTAGATTATATGATTGTACAATTTTTAATTTCCTAAGGTACTTACATACTGTTTTCTACAGGAGCTACATCAATTTATATCTCCACCAACAGTGCAAAAGTGTTTCCCTTCCTCCACATCCTCGCAAACACTTCTTATCTCTTATCTTTTTTATTTTAGCCATGGTAACAGAGGTGAGGTGATATCTCATTGTGGTTTGATTTGCATTTGATTTGCATTTCCCTAGTGATTAGTAATGTTGAGCACCTTTTCGTCTATCTGTTGGTCTTTTCTATACCTTCTTTGAAACAATGTCCATTCAATTCCTCTTCACATTTTTTTAAATCACATTGCTTGTGTTTTTGTTTTTGAGTTGTATGAGTTTTTATATATTTCGGATATTAACCACTTAATCGGATACTTGATTTGTAAGACTTTCCCTTCGCTTCCCTTTTCATTTTCTTTCTTTATAGCAGCTTTTTAATTGGATATAGTTCCATTTGCTTATTGTTGCTGTTGTTGCCTTTGCTTTTGGTGTCAAACCAAAAAAAAAAAAAACATTGCCAAGATCAAGGTCTAAGTTTTCTTACAGGAGCTTTACAGTTCTTGGTCTTATGTTCAAGTCTTTAATCCAGTTTATTTTTGCATATGGTACAAGATAACGGTTCAGGTTCACTAGTTCACAATGACTATTATTCAGTTTTCCAAGCACCTTTTATTGAAGAGACTGTTCCCTCCCCGTGGTGTATTATTGAATTTCTTTTTAAATATTAGTTTATTTTATACTTGGGGATATATTTAGGCTCGCAGTTCTGTCTCTGTGGTCTGTGTCTGTTTTTATGCTAATACTATACTGTTTTAATTACTATAGTTTTGTAGTATAGTTTGGAAATCAGGAACTATGATGCCTCCAGCTTTGTTCTTAGGTTTACTTTTGGTTCATGAGTTCCATGCAAATTTTAGTTTTGTTTTTTATTTTCTCTTTTTCTATTTCTGTAAAGATTACATTGGAATTACAGTAAGGATTGATTGAATATATAGATGGCTTTGGGTGGTAATTTTAACAATATTAATTCTTCCAACCCATGAACACAGACTATCTTTCCATTTTTGTTGCTTGTTCAATTTCTTTTATCAAAGTCTAGTAGATTTCCATATAGAACTGTTTCACCTCCTCAGTTAAATTTATTCCTAAGTATTTTGTTCTTTCTGATGGTCCTGTAAATGAGATTGTTTTCTTAATTTCTCTCTCTGATAGTCTGTTGTTAGTATATCAAAATGCAACTGATTTCTGTATATTGACTTTGTATCCTGAGAGCAGTATTTGTTTCAAAGAATGTACAAATGGAGAGAGATTCTCTAGCTATTATATGCACCCTGGTGATTTTTCCTGTGCTATTTGGCTTTTTTTTTCCCTTCAAGCACAGCATTTTAAAATCAATTTTATGGCATTCTTCTCTTAGTTACAAACAGGTGACTCAGCATCTCCTGTGAGATAGGGTATTTTGTAATAGATAAGATGGTAACACCAATAAAATATATTTGTGGAGTAGCTATATTTTTTCCAAGCCAACAGGGACAGCTCTAAGAAATCATAAATTGTCTAGATGTAGCAAGGTTAGAATTAAAAGGCATCAAAAATCTGCCAAGAGAGAATTAGATTTATTTTTCTTCTTCTCACTGCACATCACATCTAGAGAATAGAGTTGTGTGCAAACTCAAAGAAAAAAGTCCTCCAGACCACATTGAAGGGATTTAAATGAAGGTGTGAGAAGTCCAACACCCCCAAATTTCTGAATCCCAAGGCAACTAGGATGATAATTCTAGTGAAAGGATTCAGAACACACAAGTCCCTTCTTCAGTTTCTGAATTGCACTGTCCCCAAGAGAAAAGAGGTTTATAGTTTTAGTTTAGTTTTCTTCTCATTGCTTCACTGTTCATTTATATTCTCTTACTGTAATAGGAAGTGTCAGAATGGCCTTTATCTGTTCATTCCAGCAAGACTGAGATAGCCAAAGTTCACGACTTTGTCTAAAACTGGAAATTAACTATTTCATTCCTGGGTGTTCCTATAAATTCTTTTCCATTTTTAAAAGCATCACCTCCTTCTGAAAATCCAGCATCCCATTGACTCCTTCATTTCTCTCCTGATCTGGTACAGCATGCAAAACTGTCTCATTAAACCATGGGGAAAATGATTCCAAAAGTTAAATTTCAATGAAAAGGAAAACAACTGAACTAGTATAGAATTTAGTTTCATCTGTGGTTAAGGATCACAGATTTGCTTATATCTTTGTTTAGTCTCACATACCACTCTGGTGCAGGATTTTGATAGTGGGGGAGGCTGTGCATACCTGGGGTCAGAGGGTAAATCTCTGTATCTTCTACTCGATTTTGTTATGACTCTAAAAACTGCTCTAAAAATTAAGGTCTGTTAGAAAGAAAAGGTGGTATGGGGGGGAGTATGGAGTGAGAAAGAGGAAGGAAGGAAGGAGGGTAAGCAGGAAGAAATGGAGAAAAAAGTAGTCTCCTTAGTTGATTTTTATTTTAATTTACTTAAAAGTAATATTATTAAATACACCCCAAAGAAGGCTGCTTTCTGAAGCCACTAATAAAGCTGAATTTCTCCCCTCCCATAACGAATAGAAAGATATAGGATACAGTACATTTGCATAACACATATTCAGTGATTACGAAGAAATCTTTATACAGTTGTGGTGGACAAATATTTCTTCTTCCTATTAATAGCTTCAGTTTTGCTCTTCACATCAGTGGGCAAAGGAGCTGGCCGTGGGGGAGCAACAAAACGAGATGTATTTTGAAAACTTCAAACAATCATCTGTAGATCTCATTTCTATAAGTCAGTATAAAATTGGTGCCCCCATTTCCTCCTCTTTGAAACAGGTACTAGAGGTGATGATGTCCACTATTATTTTTAGTGTTGGCATTGTCTCAGTGAGAGCACCAGTCAACTTTTTCCAGGTTATTGTTCTTCCTCACCTCTCTCCCAAATTGGAAATCAGTTAACAAATGGAACTTGCCTTAAATAAAATCAAAACAGTGGAGTTCATGGATTTTTCTCTAGGGTCTTTAAAAAAAAAAAACAAAAACTAGCTGTAAGGAATTGGGGTTACCCAGGATTACTGCATGATGTTGTTCTTCTGAGATTAATGAGTGAATTTGGTTCATGTCTTGAAGTGTCTTTGTTTAGTTATTCATGTGCTATATTTCTTTCAAATATTGCAATCTGAGATAGAAGGAAAATCCTCATTTCCATTTTTGCAATACCTTTGCCAGTTATTTTGTAGCAATTATTTATGTGCTGACATTAATTATTATAAATTGCCTTGAGATTTGACTCTGCTGTGTAGCTGTATGCTATTTGGACAATGAATTCCTACTATCTCATCATTTGAAAATGAGTGCCTTGCCAGGACCTATCTGATTCTCACTTTAGTCTGTGAATTACAGGGAGGCTGCACTTTGTGAGCAAAAGGAGGTTTTCTTTGCTTTTGGAGCCCGTAGCACGGCTAAATGTCATGTCAGAGAGCCAATCTGTTTCACATAGGTGTCCTGAAGCTGGCACCTGAACTGGCCAAACAGGCCTATATGAAATGAGACCTTTTCTCCAGTGGAACAGTTCTATTGTGTTTGCTTGAGAGTTTTTCACTGCCGTAAATGTCAACCAATTCTAAAAGGCACTTTTTTTCTTTTTTTTTTCTCTGTGCAAAATATGCTGCTGCTGCTAAGTCACTTCAGTCGTGTCCAAGTCTGCGACCCCATAGACGGCAGCCCACCAGGCTCCCCCGTCCCTGGGATTCTCCAGGCAAGAACACTGGAGTGGGTTGCCATTTCCTTCTCCAATGCGTGAAAGTGAAAAGTGAAAGGGAAGTCGCTCAGTCGTGTCCGACTCTTTGCGACCCCATGGACTGCAGCCCACCAGGCTCCTCCATCCATGGGATTTTCCAGGCAAGAGTACTGGAGTGGGGTGCCATTGCCTTCTCCGTGTGCAAAATATAAGCATTATGAATCACCTATGGGAAACATATAACTTGCCATTGAATTAGGTGTTAACCAAAATTAACATTTTGAACAAAACAAAAACAATCCTTTGTGTATGCCTGATACATTCAGTCTTAAGGCTGGACCCTCTCATTCCCACCTAGCACATGAGGTTAGGCACTTTCCTCTTCACTATGTGGCACGAAATATTGATTGTGCTAAAGAGCTGGTCCAGTGGTATCAAGCCATCATTACTTCCCTTGGTGTCAAGAACAACACTGTGATGTTCTCAGTGGGAATCATGGTAGCCAACTGAAAACTTGGGAACGGAGGACTAGGCATGCTCAGCATTTTTATTTTCAAATGTTAAAGAGAAGAGGAATGGTAGTGCCCACCCCCAAAATTCAATGAAGTCAGCAGAATTCATGAGGAGCCTGAAGCTTTTAAGTAAGTAAATTTTAGAAGACTAAAAAAATGCCAAGTTTTATTAAACCTATGATCATCATAATATTTTAATATAGATCTCTGTCATTTCAAAAATGTAAAAGAAATAGAAAAGAAAAAATATGAAGGAAGGAATGAAGAAAAGAAAGATATCACAAAATATTACTACCTCTGTAAAGACTAAAGCAGTTTTTAAAATATAATACAGATTTACTGCAGTCCATCTTCAATAGAAAGAATTACAGCAGATTTCTGAGAAAAATGTGAAATTTCTTCTCATGGAGAGGCATTTTTAATATGATGTGGATGTATGCTAGTCGTGTCTGACTCTGTGGCCCCGTGGACTGCAGCACACCAGGCTCCTCTGTCCGTGAAACTCTCCAGGTCAGAATACTGGAGTGGATTGCTGTTTCCGCCTCCAGGGGATCTTCCTGACCCAGAGATTGAACCCTCATCTCCTGTGCCTCCTGCATTGCAGGTGGACTATTTACTGGCTGAGCCACTGGAGAAGCCCCTAGTATGATGATGTGGACCCTTTAGTAAAAACTAACCCTTTGGTAATAAAAGAAAGACCTCATTGTTGGTTCCTGCAGCTGCTTCTTTAAATCTTAAGAGATACTGTATTTTTATCTGGGCAATTGAGTATTGATCATTTATTCCTTTAGGTTAAATATGAGTCCAGAGTAAAACCTGCACAATTTTGTTTCTAAAACTATACTTCCAGTCACCTAATTACACCGTCTTGATGGAACAGAAATTACATGCATATTCCTCTTTCCTTTCATTCTTAAAAGCAGTTTAGCTCCTTTTAGCATCTACCTGAAGTTCCCTTTCCCTTTTGCCTTTGAGAGCCAACATCATCAAAGATTTGCCTTAATTTTGTTCCTTGTAGCCCCACACTTTAACCTTGCTATTATATATGCATGTGCATACATGTCCATCTTTGGTAGGTCATCCTAGCATAGAGATAAGGTACTTCTCTTCAGACTCTGCTTGCCATCAGAGTTCTATCTAGTTTGCTTGATTAAATTTTCCTTATTTGAAGAAATATTTAATCAGGTTCTTTGCCCATTTTCTGGTTCCAAGTGCTACATGGCTACATATGTCCTTGGCCAACCCTGTATCTTTCCACCTCCATCTTTGAATGGGGTAAGCCTGAAGCCTGCTCAGTGACCCAGAGGCCCTCTAATCCTTTTTGAATATAGAAAAATGAGCTTTAATATCAAATGCCTTCTACAGGCACATTTCACTTTTGCATATCTTTTACATCTTTAATCTCCACCCCCTTCAGCATTATCAGATATTCTATCTCCTCTGCCCTTTGCTGACCTCACTGAGCCTCCCAGAGAGGTGTCTCAAAATTATCTCACAAACTAATTATCTTGAGATATTACCTGCTTAGAAATTCTCTTTCAAAAGTAAGAGATTATCTTCTATCACTGTATTTTTTCCTACCTTTACCCAATAGCACTTTCTTAAGAAACAATCAGAAATATTCTTCTTTGATCCACATTTATACCTACTATGCAGCTCTGTTCATTTTCAATTTAACTTGGATCTGTTGACTCTGAAGATAAATGAATAAAGTCAAATCACAGTGTTCTTAGCATGAAAAACTGCCTGGCCAATATTTTAGTACAACTCAACTGTGTCCTCTGGAGAAAAAGGTGTGTTTCTACACACAAAATTGTCCAAATAGCCAAAGGCTGTCACAAACAACTATGTGAAACCTCTTTAACAATAGTAATCTGAATGAAAATTACAAGGTTTGCTACCAAAGGGGAAAAACTGCAATTCTGCATTCAGGCAACTTGTTTCAACAGAGTCATCTCTCATGTAACTTCTTAGATGGTTGTGCATCTATTTTGTTTCGGAAGATAATGACAGTGGTTATTATTTGCATCATTTTATTAGCAATGCCTTGAGCACCCGGTAACTCTGATGTGTTTGATAGCTGACATGGCATGTTTAAATCACAGAAAAATTGGCATATTGGCTGGCAGATAATAATGCAGCTGTAGCCAGGTTTGGTACATTGAATTTCACTGACATTGCTACTTATGAAAGGAGAAATAACTTTCTCTTCTCGCTCCATCACTTATGATTGCAGGGCCCAGACAATTCAGGCAATACAGTCAGTGCTGTGTATCTTTTACTATTCTTCCTAGAAGATACAACCCGCTCCTTCTGGGTCTGTTTCTACTGTTTAAAGGGGAGTGCTAACACGTCCCATAAACGCAAGAGGATAGTGGGATGCAGATGTTCTAAATGTGAAGAATAGATTGGCCACATCCTGGCACAACTCTCTGAACTGTTGCAGTGACTTAGGGAAAGCCCACTTTGTTGTGGAATGATGAATGGCTTCTGTTGTCTTTATTGCAGCGGTGAGCGAAGGACCAACCGCCCAACAGCCAGCCATGCTGCCCCCAGCGCAGCCTGAGCATCCCAGCAGTGAGGAGGCACCCAGCAGAACCATCCCCACGGCCTGTGTTCGCCCAACGCATCCCCTCCGCAGCTTTGCCAACCCTTTGCTACCTCCGCCGATGAGTGCAATAGAACCGAAAGTCCCTTATACACCACTGCTGTCTCAGTCAGGTGAGTGCCGGTTTGTCTGCATTTAGAAGCTTAGTTGTCCTCGGTGGCCCTGCGTTTAAGTGCCTGAGGCTTCCTGAGAAGGCTTGGAGGTGATGCAGCTTTTGCATGCAGATCACGTGCGCAGTGCGCTCATGTCTTTGGCTGATTTTTGTGGTGCGGCTTTCAAGGATTTGCCTTGTAAGCAGCTGGCTGATTGTGCTTTTCGTTCCTTTTAAAGTCATTCATTGATGCTGAATGTCAGTCCAGTACTTATAATATGTGCTATAGGTATGCCCACTAGCGAATACTGGACTTTCTGCTATGTGGGTTGTCAGATTTAAAGCCAGACTCCGAAATTAGAGTCAAGGTACAGGAGTGTGCGGAAATCACTTTTGAGAAATGTATGTAAATCTCATAATTCTATTTTGTTCCTTTCAATGGTCATCTTCCAGGGGTTCTTATTTTAGAGTTCCAAGGCCAGAAAGGAGCATCAGACCGTGGTAGTGTCTAATCTCCTAATTTTAGAAGAAATAGAAATAAATAAAGAAATATATGAATAATATTAAATAAGTATAAGGAACAACAATAAAAAAATAAAGAAATAGAAATAAAGAAACCCACTTAGATAGATAGGAAGCAATATCTGTGTTTCCTTTCTAAGAAATGCAGATGCAGAGAGGAGAACCAGAATCCCTAATTCCCAAGGCAGTGCTCATTCTGTTACCTTAGCTGGCATCCATTGGCTCCACTGAACCAGAGCTGCTTTTAGTTTCTGTTATGGATTAGGGAGAATCAGGGACCTCAGAGAGGGGGAGAGGAGAAGGAGGAAAGAAGGTGGAGAAGGAAAAGAAAAAAGATGAGAAAGAGGAGGAGGGGAGAAGGGGAGGAGGAATAAATAGATAAGATGAGAGAAAGGTCAGTAGCTAGTTCTTTAAATATGTAAAGAACTACATAGAGCTTAAAATTATTTGGGATATTGGCATCATTCTTGACAACCCCAGCATATTAGGCATAAGACAATGAAGTTCAATAATTCCATGTAAAGAGAGATGCCTCCTATTTAATAGACACAGGTAGCTGCATGGACCAATCCGCCATTGTATAGATACATTTGAATTAGTTTCTGTTTTCAGATACATACCCAGAGCACTTTTAGTCACTGCGTTAGTGCATAAACCTGCTGACGCTAGGAAAAATAAGGCTGCAATTATGAATCTTAAATTTATATTAACATGAAGACTCTATCTTGTTCCTGGCATCACACCGATTGATTTGTGTGTGTCTGGTTTCTGACCATTGATGTGGCGTCTAGTACGGCTGCTCAGCTGCCCAGCTCTGGGCGGTGGAGTAGGACACAGGAGGGCTGTGGACCTCCATCCCTTGAGATACAAGCTGCATGTCGCCCCTGGGCAGAATGGGGCCTTCTCTGACACACAGGGTCACTGCAGGTCGTGGTTTCATTTCACCGGAGATGGCTCTTCCAGCCCCAAAGAAGCCCACGCTAGGATTCAAAGCAAGTCAGTATTGTCCAGTCTCTTCTTCTACTTGCCACACGTAAATCCCACATACACATGATTCAGAGAATCCACTACTTGGTATTGCCCTAAACCTGTGAGGTCTTTGCTAACTGAGACAGGAACAATTTGAAGCAAGAAAATTTATTTCAGGAAATTCCTGTGTCAAGAACATGCTGCCTGGTGATTTCTGGCTATACCCACTTTCCCACTGAAATGCCAACTAAGGGAAATGATCTTGGAGGACACTGGTATTCAGGAGAGTTGGCAGGTTAATTGCAACTACTAATAATAACTAACCTTTATTGAACATGTGCTATGTGACCTATATGCTTCTGAAGGCCTGTAGTATGGTATGTGATCCTCAAAACTTTGTGATGTTGTGCCTTTTTAAAACCTATTTCAAGGATAAGGAAATTGTAATAAAGAGCATTTAAGTAGTATATTTAAATCTATACAGCTAGGGAGCAAGGCTTCTTTTCCCACTCTTTTTGATTGTAGAAAGCAGGGGTTCTGAACTTTTAGGAACTCATTTGTAACTCTTAGTTTATATCTAACTCATTTAATGACAAAAGCAAAGATAATTTTTAAAGCCTATTAAGTTAAATCAGTCTAAAGCTGATAAAAAGAAAAAAATGGGAAACATCTGAAATAATTCTGAGTTGGGAAATACCATTTTCTCACAAGGTTTCTTCCCTCACATTTTAATGAGTGAGAGAAGATGAGAATTTTATCAGAAGCTTTTTCTACACCTGTTGAAATGATTGCATGGTTTTTATTCTTCAGTTTGTTACTCTGGTGTATCATATTGATTAAATAGTGGATATTGAAAAATCCTTGCATCCCTAGGATAAATCCCACTTGATCGTGGTATATGATCCTTTTAATGTATTGCTGGATTCTGTTTTCTATTATTTTGTTGAGAATTCTCACACCTGTCTTTATCAGTGATATTGGCCTGTAATTTTCCTTTTTTGTGTGATATCTTTGGTTTTCATTTCACAGTGATGCTGGCCTCATAGAGTGAGTTCAGAAGTATTCATTTTTCTGCACTTTTTTTGGATAGCTTCTGAAGGGTGGGTGTTAACTCTTCTCTAAATGTTTGGTAGAATTCACTTGCGAAGCCATCTGGTCCTGAACTTTTACTTGTTGAGAATTTTTAAATTACTGATTCAATTTCAGTGCTTGTAATGGGTCTGTTCATATTTTCTGTTTCTTCCTGGTTCAGTCTGAGAGATTGTAGCTTTTTGAGAATTCGTCCATTTCTTCTAGAGATGTTTAACTATTTTATACTGAGAATACCAATTTTATAACACCAAGAAATTAAAGTGCTTTAGTACTTTATATTGTTGATATTCTATTTTGAAGTGAAAGTCTTTTTTTTTTTTAGGAACTGTGTTATGCAGAGAAAAAAAGATGGAAATGATATTCAGAAGTCCATTTAAAATGAAAATTCTGCAGTGGAAGTAATAGTGGGTTCAGAACACAAACTTTGGAAATAAACTCATACTCCAAGTGATCTATAATAACAAAAAATGACCCCCAAATGACCCAGTTATCCTAATTTTAGAAAGAATACCTGATAATGGGCAGAACAAAGAACTTACCATGGTCATTTGCTATTTTTTTTAATTCTAGTTACAGTGAAACCAATGCTGTCTAAAAACAAATGCAGCATGAATGAGTGTATTATATCCTTAACAGATGTGTCAGAGAGGTTTTTCTTTTGTCTCTACACCTATTCAAAAATACTAAGCATCTTTGAAGAACCTTTCAGTTCTAATGTCATGTGGGCAAGATCTCATTTTCCTTTATCTTCACTGCATATTTATAAGTCTACATTTGTTTTAATATTGTTCTTATTTTAGTGGAATGATTTCTTATAAACTACCTTTACTTTCAAATTTTCCAGTGTCTTTGACTTGCTGGGGGATTGAGTTTCTATACAACCATAGTTCCCCTTTAAATGCCATCCACCTCCACTCACCTGAGGTCCACCCCCACCGTCTCTTGGGCATTATTAAATGCCTTTCCCTTTTTTTGTTTCTCCATTGTCTCCCTGTGACTCCTGTGCATTTCATAAAGTCTTACTGCATGATTTTCAAATAAGTTCTCCCTGCATTGCTCCTGACACATGGTAAGTAGCATGCTTCTAAGAAAGGGCTGATGTTTACTTATTCTAATAGAAACAGAAAATTAGCAGACTGACAAATGTATTAGCTGTGACATTAACTACATGCTTTTTAGTCTAAAAGATGAAATACTTAGAGCTTTCGACAAAGCGTAATTCTCAGAAAATCATTACTTGAGTCAAACTGATGGATGATGTCAAGTCTTTCTCTTTTTGGGTTAAAAACAATATCTGAAGTAATTTTACTCTACGTTTCATAATAAAAGACTGCATAATTACTAATGAACTTATCTTTACTTACCACAAGTAGTTACTTTAGATATGGTAATGTGAGGCATCATGGTAATTTTGAAGTATCATGCCCAAAATCCTTCTGGTTTGAAATCATTTAAATTAGGATCAGGGAAGAAGCTCTTTTTCTACTCAGGTTCCTGTGTGTGGTTTTTCTTGGGCAGCGTTATGGATCTGTGCCTCAGTTTGCCTCCCCAAAAGGCACGCGAAGCTATGTTTGCAGTCGTTTTATATGAGGTATTTGTTGTTTAGTCGCTCAGTCGTGTCCGACTCTGCAACCCCATGGACTGCAGCACACCCTGCTTCCCTGTCCTTCAGCATCTCCCAGAGTTTCCTCAAACCCACGTCCACTGAGTCAGTGATGCCATCCAACCATCTCACCCCTTGTCGTCCCCTTCTCTGCATAATATGCAGTAATGATATCCCTGCAGTTGCACAGAAACTTGCAGTATTTCTATAACAAATGGTAATTAGAAAATCATCCTGTTATCATAATGACTGACATTCTACCTCTACCTACCTGAAAACACAGATTCATTCCATCATTTATGTTTTCCTTCCACAATTAGAAACTTAGCTTACTAGACTCTAGGGTGTTTTATGGTATTTCTTACAATTTGACCATCACCTCATGATAAAGCGGTTCCATTTCTTAATGCTTCTCGTATAGACGTGAATAACTGTGTGATCTTTGCACATATCAGGGAGGGTGCAAATACTACATTTTGCAAATCACAGATGTGGCCATATAAGTGATTTGGCTTAGTCTTCTTTCAGATTAAATAGAAAATGCTTGATGGAGCATTGGGTTTATGGCCTTATAGATCTGACATAAATTCTACAAAGGGCCAAGATAGGCTATTTTTTTTTCCTTCCCTAGTGAAAATTCCTTTTAGCTGTGAACTGATCAGCTGCACTTTAAATGAACCTGGATTAGGGGACCATTTGTCTTCCAAGGCTGTAATTCTAAAGGGAAAGAAAATGTGACCTCTTAAATAGTGACTTTTATATTGTAGCGCTGTTTTACAACACTAGTCTCCTGGAGTTCTTGCATCTTTGTAAAGCTGTATGCATGCTTCATTGTCATCCATTTACACACTGCATCTCTACATGTTTTTATTTATAAAGGGAAAACCCAGGACATCCTGATCCTTTCAGTCTTCTAGGGATCAATATGTCAGTGGACATGACAAGACCAAAACTCACTTCATTGTACTGCGAAATTGAGTTTGATTTTCCCTCTGCAAATTGTGGCATGTGCTTCAATTTGTCTGAGGGTTGGGGACAAGGAGTGGGTGGAGGTGGCTGACAGCGGACAGAAAAGGCATTTGATTTATATTTTATGGCTGGTTGGGAAATCATGTGTTCCTGCTATAACCTGATCTTTTTGGCAGGCCTCATTTCTGTAAATACGCTGTCACACAGAACTGCCGATAAATTACTATAATACATTAGTTCAATTCCTTTCCCTGAGCCACGTGTAGGCCGCCGTTGTGGGTGTTCATCACGATTCCACCTGAGTGTTCCGTTTTGCTGAAATCAGCCATGGGCAAAGGTCTTGGGGGGTCAGACATTCTTCAGCAGGTAGAACAAGAGGGTCACTTTCCAGGCCAGTCAGAGCAAATAAATCATTGGCACAGTTAAGTAGGAGAGATGTGTTGATTTGATGTTATTGGAGCCGATACCATCAATCAGTTTCAGAGGAGAAAATTACACTGCCCCTACTATTCTGTACCTCATGTGAACCTCAGCTCTCTGTATGTTGTTTTGTTTTGTTTTGTTTGGGCAGGGGGTTGCTTTCTTGGTAGTTACCTTCTAAATTGTCCTGTCCTCGTTTCTAACAGATCATTTTTTTAATAGGTGAAATTTGATTTGATTTGATTTGTCTAGTCATTCTAAATTACTCCTTGGTAAAATGTAATTGGCTCTCCCCTGGTGGCTAAGACAGTAAAGAATCTGACTGCAATGCAGAAGACCCAGGTTCAATCCCTGGGTCAGGATGGTGCTAGTAGTAAAGAACCTGCCTACCAATGCAGGAGACTTAAGTGACGTGTGTTTGATCCATAAGTCAGGAAGATCCCCTGGAGAAGGGCATGGAAACCCATTCCAGTGTTCTTGCCTGGAGAATCCCATGGACAGAGGAGCCTGGTGGGCTACAGTGCAAAGGACACAAAGAGTCAGACACGACTGAAGCAACTTTACATGCACACAAAATGCAATTAAGTCAAATTTGCTTTATACATCACCAGTATTTGTAACACTGAAACCTACTTGATGTTTTAATAAAATACTGTTTCCTTTAGCATGGTGTTCCAGGATTTAGAAAAAAATCTCTGCTAACTGCCTCAAAGAGAGGGATTTCTAGAAGCAACTTTAGGAAACTATAAGTAAGCCGTGTGACTGGTACCTCACTTATAAATGACAAAGATGAAGCCTGAAAAGGTTAAGCGTCTCGCCCAAGGTCAAGAGTTGAGCTGTTGGTCAAGTTTACAGAATTCAGAGACATAGAACACTGAAGAAAAAGGATTTTAGTTGGTGCGTAGTGATGCGAGTAGCTATTTTAGATTGACTTTTTTTGTACAGTTGGGTTTCTAGGATGATTCTAATTATTAAATATCTCTCAGAAAGAATTCTTTGATAGCAGGCAGGTTGAATTATTTAGCTTAGTATCTGAGTAAATGTTTTCTTCTTTTATATAGACTAGGTGGAGAAAGGGAGATATTAAGCCAGGAACTCTGAAATAGCTCCTGTAAACTCACCTGTCCAGCCTGCCAGATCCCTCAACGGGAGGGCAAGGGGCCAGAGAGCTGGCATCTGGTGCTTTCAGCACCACATACCATGGAGAACCATGGCTTTGGAGTCCAATCATAAAATTCAAATGTGCAGAAGGGAGTGTAAAGCAAAGATAAAAGTTAATGCACATGAGAATATTACTCAGATTGTGGGTCAGAACNACATCCATACATGACCACTGGAAAAACCATAGCCTTGACTAGACGGACCTTTGTTGACAAAGTAATGTCTCTGCTTTCTAGAGACAAGAATTGTTAGATCACAAATAAATTGAAGCTACCTATCAGTATTATGCAATCTTACTCTAGGGTTAAGTCACTGCGTTGCCAGCTAGATAGTCGTGTCTGTGTGCTCAGTCACATCTAACTTCCTGTGGCCCCACAGACTGCAGCCTGCCAGGCTCCTCTGTCCATGGACTTGTCCAGGCAAGAATATTGGAGTGGGTTGCCATTTTCTTCTCCAAGGGATATTCCCAACCCGGTGATCAAACTGTAGAGAAAATAAAAACAAATCTATTACATAGTAGACAATATAGTTTGAAGCATATAATCTAAGACTGTCCTTTGATTATACTGGGGAGTGGTGGTCTTGTGAGTGATGGAAAATGATGAGAGAAAGGGTGAAGAATAGGTTGTTTTCAAGGCAGCAATTTTTCCTTTCCTGTCACCTAAGAACCTGATTGGTCACATGATTAACTACCGCTATATAGATTTTGTTATTTACAAAATATTCTTGAGGGTCAAAGTGCCTTTTAAAAATCAGCTTAGGAGAAACTAGTAGGGTTAATACTTTACATTTTGTCACCATTTACAATTTGTAAAGGATATTGTCATGTGAATTCCTGACTACCTGCAAAGTAATTATTATCACCATTATTGGTGCGAAGAAGTTGAATAATTTGTCCTGTTTCAGGCTCATATGTGTTTGTTCTTTGACCTTTATACAAACCCTTACACATAATGGACACTCAATAAATATTTGTAGAGTTTTTCAGAATAGAATAACAAAGTAAGGGCCAGAAATTAAATTCAGGTCTTCAGTTTCAAGTCTAATGATGATCATAGGTGAAGCAAGGCAATTTGGGAGTTGGGAAAAGGGTTAGATATTGATAATAAAGGCAGATAAGATGAAACAATTTCCAAATTCATAACCATTTGATCATAAAATGATGAATGGCCTGAACTATGAATAACACTTTCTGGTAAAGTTGAATTAAATTACATAAAGTGGGAAAAAGTAATATTAAGCCACCACCTCTGGAAGCTCTGAATAGAGCTTACTGAATAGTAATTTAACTTCATGAAAATAAGTACACATAGTACATGAAGAAGAATCGTGTCCCCTTTAAATTACTAAAAAAAAGGGGAGTGAAGCTCAGTGCAAATAGAGTCCTGAGGTCTAGTGTTCTCTCCATTTTGCTGTAATATTATGGAATTATGCTCCCCTGAATTCTGCTCATTCTCATCTGTGATATTAGATCAGCATTCCTCTTCAAA